ACTGTATGTTAGCTAACTTGACAATAAGTTATATTTAGAAAAAACTTCAAATATAATGATCTAGATAGTGTAAAAGTAAAAGATGGAAAATATCTAACACTAATCAGAAGAAAGCTGGAGTGGCTGCAGTAATATCAGACAAAGCAGACCTCAGAGCAAAGAATAAAAAGGGTAAAAAGGGACAATACATAATGATAAAAGGATTAACTTATCAAGAAAACACATAATCCTAATTTGTAGATACCGAATAAAAGAGCTTGAAAATACCTGAAGCAAAAACTCACAACTGAAATAAGAGATAGATACGTCCACAATAACAGCTGGAGACTTCAATGTTCCTCTCTTGGTAATCAGTAGAACTAGCAGACACAAAGCCAACAGGGTACATACTGTAAGTTACTGGTTTGAAATGACATTTATAGAACACTATACCCCAAAGCAACACAATACATATTCTTCTCAAGTATACTTGGAACCGTCACCAAGATAAATCACATCCCTGGGCATTCTAAAAATTTTTAACAAATTTAGAGAATTGAAATCATGCGAGGTATGTTCTCTGACTATAATGAAATTAGATTGGAAATCAGTAACAGGATGATAGCAGGAAAAATTCCAGACCCTTTGAAATTAAACAGTACACTTCTAAATAGTCCTTGAGTCCAAAAGGAAGTCTCAGGGAAATTAGAAAATATTTTGAATTGAAATGAATTTGAAAATATGTATCCCAACTTGTGGAATGCAGGTAAAGCAGGGCTTAGAGGGAAGTTTATACAATTAAAATGCTCATATTAGAAATGAGAAAACTATTGGGGCACCTGTGTGGCTCAGTCGGTTAAGCCGCTGACTTAGGCTCAGGTCATGATCTCGCGGTTCATGGGTTCGAGCCCTGCATCGAGCTCTGTGCTGACAGCTCAGAGCCTGGAGCCTGCTTTGGGTTCTGTGTCTCCTTCTCTCTGTCCCTTCCCCACTCGTGCTCTGTATCTCTGTGTCTCAAAAATAAATAAACATTAAAAAAATTTTTTTTAATGAGAAAGCTATCAAACCAATAATCTAAGTGTTATCTTAACAGCCAAATCCAAAACAAGCAAAAGAAATGGAATGATAGAAATAAGAACACAACTTAATCAAATTGAGAACAATTTCAAAACCAATAGAGAAAATCAATGAAACCAAAATTTGGTTCTTTGAGATCAATAAAACTGATAGATCTCTAATGAGATTTGGAGAGAGAGAGAGAGAGAACACAAATGCTCAATATCAAGGATGAAAAAGGAGTTATCACTATAGACTCTGTTCACAAATTCAACTGTTCAGATAAAATGGAAAAATTCTGCAAGAAACACAAACTACCAACATTTACCCAAGATGAAATATAGATAAGCTGAGTAGCCTTTTAACTTTTAAAAAATGATTTGTAATTAGAAACCTTCTGTTTCTGAAATCTTCAGGCTCAGATGGTTCTAGCAAATTCTACCAAATATTGCCAGTGACGGTTCACTAGCAAATTCTACTAAATATTTAAAGAAGAATACAACATATTCTACATAGCCTCTTCCAGAACATAGAATAAGAGGTAACACTTCTCAAATAATTTTATAAGGCCAGCATTACCCTGATACCAAAACAAGACAAAGATGGCTCAGTAAAAGAGAAGTACAGAACACTATCCCTCATGAACACAGATGCAAAAATGCTCAACAAACTATTGGCAAATATCCAGCATACATAAGCACACGAAGAGATGTTCACCATCATTAACCATTAAAGAAATACAAGTTAAACTCCGATGAGCTATAACTACATGCCCAGAATGACAAAACAGAATGGTGCAAAATAAAAAATCCTGACAATGCCAAGTGCTCATGGCAGTGCAAAGTAACTGGCACTCTCCTACATTCCCAGGGGCAATGCCACATTGCACAGCCACTCTGGAAAACCACTTGGTGGTTTCTTATAGAGCCAAACAAAGATTTGACCTATGATCCAGCAATCCTACTCCTGGATGTTTACCTAAGTGAACTGAGAATGTACGTTCACTCAAAAATCTGTACCTGAATGCTTACAGCAGCTCTGTTCATAATCCTCAATATCTGGAAGCAATCCAAATGTCTTTCAATGAGTGAATCTGTAAATAAACTGTGGCACATCCGTACAGTGGAATACTACTCAATCTAGCAAGAAAAAGGATGAACTCTTGACGCACATAACAACTTGGATGAATCTCAGAGGTGTTTTGCTGAGAGAAAGTAGCCAATTTTGAAGGTTCTATGTACTGTATAATTCCATGTATGTGAATTTTTGAGAAAACAAAACCATAATGACAGAGACAAGTCGGTCTTTTCCAGGGGTGAGAGGTTAGTTAAGACAATGTTTTTTCTCCCCACCCAAATTCACAAACCACTCAGGGAGAGGGTCTGTGGGCCCCAGGTCAAGAACCTAGCCTATGCTGTATATTGCTTAGAAATTGTCTTTTTTGTTTATTCTTCTATGTCCTGCACCCAATACAGCAGACTGGCATATGGCAGACACTCAGTTATCTGGAAAATAAAAGAATAAATGGATGAACGAACCAACAAAAGAGCAAATATATAACAGCGTATTTAGAGACTCTAGAGACTTTAAGAAAAAGAGACCCATTCTCTTTAGCCTAACATGTGATCACTGTTCATAATTATGAACTGGATTGTCTCTAACACCTCCTCTAACTGGGCTTTTCTAGTTGGGCCACTGACCAGTTTTGTGTTGTGGTGTACCTGCACTATTTCTGAGCATCTCTTTGTTTCCAACCTGTAGAGGGGACACAATTAAATCCTTTCTCAGAATTATACAGCTCTTGTCACCAAAGATGGTCAATAACTGTCCAAAAGGTACACTTTGCAATTAGTGTACATACAGTGCTGAAACAATAGTGAGATTCTGTCAATGGGCATCATTCAGGCTTCACGACGAGACCAGCTGAGGAGCAGAACTGGGCGAGCGCAACAGGGCACTTCATGTGAGAGGTCACCAATGGGAAATTGATGGGGACCCAAAGACTGAAGTTGGTGTTAGAGCCAGAGAGCCCTCCTCACCCCCAGCCAGTAGTAAGGGCTGGGAGAGAACTCAGTCACCAGAGGGTTCTAGAATATTGCACGAACCTAATGCATTGCTACACTTGAATGACCCCGTCATGTACCAGCAATCTCCTTGGTGGTCGCTGGGAAGGCTGTTCCAGACCTGAATAAAAGATCGGATAAAACTAATACCTTATTTCATTAAGTCAAGTCTAAGATGCCCTTGAATGTAGAGCTCCACTATCATTTTGCGCACCAATAAGAAAGGAAAAACACTGCCAGTAGGCTGGCAGGTACCTTTAACAACAGTCCTCACTGATGTATGAATCAATCGCAGCAGAGTTTTTTTTTGTTGTTGTTGAAATTAATCTTCATCTCTTCTGAGAAATTCAGCAATAAAACAAATATCCCGGTGATAGAAAGTGACACAGCTTGCCTGTCTTTGTTGGTATCTTCCTTTCTGAGATTTCTAAGGCACTTGGTTGTTCCTTTGCAAGAAAACATGGATTTAACGATCATTCCTCTGTGACAAATATTCGTTACTAAAATCACATGTACATCCTACTGTTTGGCTTCTCTTCCTTTCTGAGTACAAAATAGCGTGTCGCTTCAATGCTGAATCGCGGTGAAATTTCCTTTGAGAACATTTCTGGGTGGCAGTTAAGCTCTCGAGTTAAACTAACAGAGGCACAGACCGCACCATCGAAGTGAGGACAGGGTGAGCAGCTACGACCTACTGGACGCACAAACGGAGACAAAGGCAGCAACGTCGCAACCGCTGCCACTGAGGCCAATCGATGGCTTTTGAAAGGCACTGTTGACGGGCGCATCTGGATTCCAGAGAGGTGAAATTGTGAAGAAGTGTACGCTTTCGAATTGGTGGGATGCAATGATTCTGTCAGATTCCGCGATTTGGGAGAGAGTGCCACATCCAAGACCTGTTTCTTGAACGTCCTCCGTTTGCCGGGTAATGTTCTAGGGCCCATGGTGGGAAGCCAACGAGGTGATCTCCTGGACCCCGTGGAGCTCACACTGAGTAGGGAGATTACGCAATAAGTGAATACCCAGAACAGTAATCACAGCGTTTTAAGTGCCGTGAAGGAAACAGACCAGGCTGAGAGAGCCTCGTGGTGAGGGGGGCTCAGGGTGTGTGTCGGGTACTTGTGATGAGTCCTTCAAATCTTGCTGATTTCCAACTGAGTTGACATTTGGATTTTGGTCTCTGAGAGTCACTGACGGCCTGCAGGGCGACCGCCTGCCAAGGTTTGCCGCCGCCTGGGGTTTCCTGGGATGTGGGAGTGGCAGTCCCAGCCACACCGACATGGGCACAGTTGGTCGCCCTCCAACAGGGCTCTAACTCAGCTCCCTTTTGGTTTAATATTCGCATTACTGTCTCCATGCCTAGTGAAGTTTCATTGAAACTTGACAACCGTGACTTCCATTTCCACCTCTTCTATTTTCATTTCAAAAAAGGTTAATTTGATAAATATGACTACAATCTTGTAATTACCGAATGCACTCAGTCATTCGACAGCACTGATGAAGTTCTTACCTCAGATGCCGTGGGGGCTGCAGGGACGGGGCGACATGGCCGCCAGAGGTGACAGCACCTGGGTTCAGATGCTGGAAGAGGATGGGGTGGGCTGGGGGTGGGGGGGACACCGGGGTCTCCAGGAGTTACAGGCAGGTGTCGGATGATACAGAGGTGAGGGGGGCAGGGGAGGCTGCCCCCTGTTTGGATTTTATTTTACTTGAGATAAAATAATACAAACCAAAGGCTTCAGAGAACAGCCATCTTCTTTGCCTTTGAAATGAGTCGAGGGCAAACACAGAACCATTCTTTTCCATTAAGGATCGTTTCTGTAAAATGGTGTGGCTTTCGGCTTCTTAATGAAATGACTCGCTCGCCTCTGGACAGCAAATGCTTTCACGACTATTCAAACTGTATACTTTTCTCTCTTTGAAACAATGAAACACGTACCCTTGGCTTTCCCTTCAAGCAAGGGCTCCCCACATGAAGAAGCCCTGTTCACGTCTGTGTGCCAATATGGTGGGGTAGTTGTCAGTGACCCCACTGTCCTTAGTACTTATTAGTGTTTGCCAGCCCTCGGTGAGCTTCGTGTTGGATCTCCACCTTCGGCTCAGGATTGATGTGTGAGAACTCACACATCCACTGCAATATTCCATAACTCTCCCGTGATTTCTTTTCTTTCTCCTTTCCCTTGTCCACTTCATATCCCCTCATATCTCCTGAGCACCTAGTTCCTTCTTTAATGACTCCTTGCACTGAACGCCGTGACCAGTCTTAGAAGCATTATAATCTGAAGAAAGCAATCAAGTCTCCAACAATAAATGGTGGTTTACTATTTTTTTTTAAAAGATGGAAACTGTCATATGGAAATGGGGGCATCGATGCCTTAACCTATTCCAAAACTTTATTTATCTCATATCCGGCCAGGAAATAGAATGTAGGCGTGAGAGCGAGAGTGCGTGTGTGCCGGCTCACGTGTGCACAGGTGCATGTCTTTGAAGCAGCATGAAGCCAAAAAGTCTTATCAATTAAAGTTAAGCAAAATTTGTAATCAATTTTTAAAGTAGGTATGTTTTACGGCCTGGTGTTATTTGAAAGCTGAACAGCTGATGTCAAAAATAGACTCCCCATTCTTTCCAAAGTGTGGCAAAAATAACCACATGCCTTTCTTGGCCTCCCGACTCTCACCCCAGAGGGTTTTCTTGTATAGGAACCAACAATGCCTTGGATGGAAACTCTGGATAGGCTAGTCATTATTTTAAGATTTAGGAGATTGCAGATTCTTGGCAGACCTTGGTTGTTTTTCTAGAGTAGTAGAAAAAAGCAAGGAGCCGATCCATGTTGCTGGCTTTGGGTTCTTCGTGAACAAATGAGACAAGGTGAGTAGCTGCCCTGCTCATCCCCCTCTGTCCCAGGAGGAAAGGTTCTGGTGGCCGCGGTCCTGGTGTGGATCTGGGTTTTCTGGAAAACATCGGGACCTTTCCCCCTTTGCCTTTAGGCTTGCCCGCCACTGGAGGAAGACCCAGACGATGGCTGCCCGGTGCCGGCACAGCCCATCGAGGGGTTAGAAATAGTAGCATTGCTTGTGGAGGGCGAACAATCACTGTATTGTCAGATTTTTTTTTTTTTTCTTACTTTTCATCCAAACGCTGGGCTGCTTGGTAGCACAGTTGGAGATACTGTGTGAAGGAGCCTTAGCTCATGGCAACGTTTCCTCCGTTCGCTTTCTGCTGCTTCTTGCATTGGAAAATTCCATCCTTTCACACTGGGATTATATGTCACCACTGCTGAAATGATAGACAGAGTTCACTTAATTTGCTGCAAGCGTGAGAGACAGCCAGAGAAAATGGGAGAGCATAGCATTCCCTTGTATAAAGGGAGGATTGAACAAGGTCAGTGAACCAAAGAACCAGCAGGTCACAAACCCTCAGGGGGTCATGAAAATCTTCCCTGGTTTCTGGGTTTTGAGAGCAAAATTGATGCCTGTTTAGATTGTTTAAAAATCTTTTTTAACGTATTTAAGATTGGCCATTATAATTGAGCCGGGAGAAGTATTTGAGGGCTCATTCTTCTTGTTTCTGTACTTTAGCATATTTGTGAACATTTTAATGAAAGAAAGCTTTTTTTAGAAAGTATTTAAATACTTCTATCTCTCATCCCAGAATGATTCCAGAGCCCCTCAGTGGGTACCATGCACGCATGCATGGCAGGGAGGGGTGGCGTCACTGGGCATGCTCGTGAGTTGGCCTCAGTCCGTTTAACTGAGCTGAACCCCCAAAACTTCTAACCCGTTGTACAGTTTCAAATAGCATTTATTCCTAGCCGTACGTTCTTTGGTCCGTATCCTGAATGGATCATTTGTTAAAGACTAGAAGCGTTAGCAACGCAGCTCCTGAAACTTGTGTTATTAATTCAGTAAATTGCCTGATGGTAATCTTCTCTTCATCTGAAGATGATCTTTTCTCATCAAAATCTATCCCTCCGAAGATGCCCCTGGACTTCCGAAACTAAGTGTTACAGGGAGAGAAAAAAAAAAAAAAGAGAGTGACAATTATGTCTAATCTTAGTTTTCATTTATAAAGAAGCAACGATTGTTTAGAAGTGATTATAAATAGCAGCAAGTTGATTTTCTAAGCTCAAAATATGGGAATTTCAGACAGGAGGTCACGAAAGTAGTTTTTCATGCCCCAACTCCTAGTTAATTAATTTCAACCCGTATTTTACTGTGAGCACCACACGGCCAACACAAAATAACTCTTTTACGGACTTCCTCCCTGTATCTGATGACCTTGCAATTGTTATCATGAAATTTATTGTTTCATCACTGTTTCCGAGTGACTTTTGGGCACAGAAATGGTAGACTTTTCTAGAAATAGGGCAGGGGCGCACCTTATAAGGCTTATGGGTTTTAGACACACGCCCCTGAAATTCTGTGTTAATCCTCCCATTCAATTAAACTTTTTAAATATATTGAATATAAAGATTATACTAGTATGAGATTTATCATATATGCGGATAAAATAGAAAAGATTTTTTTTTTTTTTTTTTTTGCTCCCGGTCTCTTTTTATAATGCATCGCATTGGACATCTTGTGTGTGTGTGTCTCTCATCTTCTGGACCACCCTTGATGCCAGCCATTGCTGGAGCAACCACCTCTGTGCAGGTGGACCAGTGCCTTGTTTCAGCCATACCATATGCCTCTGTCTGGGCCCTGGGCTCCTTGGAAACAGTATCCTGGTAGACATGCAAGGGAGTCAACACCCCATGAGACAAGCCTCCAAAAGAGCACTTTTCTTTTTCTTCCCTCGGACTGAAAATTCTCACGTGCATCCTCTGCGGCTTCTTAGAGCATCGTCACGGGAGACGAGATGGATCACGAGGCCACCTTCTCTCCTTCCTTCCTTGCTTCACTGCCTCCTGTCCTTGACTCCTGTTTGCTGGGATCGCTCTCCAGAATAAGCCCTTGTCACGGGCTCTGCTTCCTCTGAGGAATCCAGGCTAGACGCTAGAGTCATGCACCAGAACTAAGACATGGATATGGATTGCTAAGGGATTGGTTGGGTGTATCTCTATGAGTGGGGCTCAAAGAGAAGTTTGGGAACCGCTGGATCAGATGCCTCTGGGGATCACAGCACATAAGATGAGAATTGTCAGGTCCTTGTCCAGCTCTAACAGGTTTGTGGCTCTCTGAATCTTCCGTGATGAACGCTAGAAGATCCCCAAGCTTTGTCAAGCCTGTTCAACACCTGTGAGTACACATGACATCCAGGGGAAGCAGAGCGCAACACAAAGCACTCTTCACAAACATTCAGAAATCCCACAGCCCTGGGAGCCCTCTGCACAATTTCTGGATCTGGTTATGAAACCGCGAGTGGTGCTGGCCTCTTCCAAGGAAATTGCTGACCTGACTCTGGGGCATGGCCTCTGCCCTCAAGTAAAGGTGGAGGAGACCCAGGGGGGCCTCTTTGCTTTTGTCATGATCCATCTCAGGGAAGGGTGGCCTTTGCCTCGGCCAGGTTATTGACGGGATGCTCAGGATTCTGAAAACCTAGTTACCTCCCCGTAGCCTTTCTCTACCTGTAGTATCTAGGCCAGCGGCTCTCAACGTGTGATCCCTGGGCAAGATCATTTCTTCTGAAGGCAAATTTTCCACTGGGGGGAGGTTAGAAATGCCAATTCTTGGGTCCCTCCCCAGGTCTTCAGCAGCCTTCCAGGTGATTCTGATGCTGGCTTAAGTTTGAGAACCACTTCCCTGAGCTTTTCCCTTCTCAGCCAGGCTTATGTGCTTTGGGGGCCTTCAATGTGGATTTCACACTCCTGCGCAGAGAATGAGCTCCAGAAACAAAAGACGCCTTGATTAGTGAGGAGGAGAAAAGGGGCTAGAACCGTGTAGGCAGCCACCCAGCTTCTAAGCAGATCATATTCTGGACTTTGGAAGTCAGCTGTTTGGAATGTGAGCTGTTTTCCTAGGAATGGTAGAAAGGTTCCCACGCCAGCACACAGGGCATATTTAATCCTGAATCTAGCTGAAATACTGCTGCGTCACAATGAAAAAGAGCAGATCACAACGCTCCCGTAGTATTAGCAACCACTCAAGGCAGAGTAATAAAGTGATAAACGAAACACAGAGATGGTATTTTATTTATGCTAATATTGCCGGGTTAAGGAAAGGTGGATTTGGAGGCAGAGGAAGAGGTTCGTGGGGATTTGTCATGACTATGAAGGAGTTGCTGGCCTTTCTCTTCAGTATGTCACGATACTAATTCCTTTAGGTCAAGATTTCTTAAATGTGGTTCTGGACTGTTCCCTTTTTGTGAAGATAAGTTTCGTCCTAGGAGGGATGTAAAGAATTCTAGGAAAGTTGGCAAGCGTTGAAAAGGAGAGCGGAAAGAGTTCGGGGATTAAAGAGAATGTGGGTGCGTTTTCTGTTAACACGACCATCAACAGAGACAGAATTAACTTGAGTCGTGCGCAGTGAGAGATGGACGGGTCAGGATTCTCCCCTGACAAAAGAGGAAAGAAAGCAGACAAAAACTGCCCTCGCGGTTGGTCAGCCGATTTTCATTTTGATAAATATTTATGAATATACAGTTTTATGTGAACAAAAGCGGCGTGGTTTGGGAGCTGCTGTTCTGGAAACCTTCTCTCTCATTGTATTGCCTTTCAATCACATTTCATGCCACTTGCCCCCTCTCCTGCCACAGCTGGGCAACTGACCAGAGGCCTTGACCGTGTCCACTCGTATGGCATAAGAGGATGATCTGGACCACTCTGATGTCCCCTTTTGTCCTTGTAGGCATTTGGAGTAAGGAATGCCCAGAGCATTTGTTCAGTCCACGGTGGGAAGAGGTACATGGCCAGCTTCGATCACTTTACATGTTTTCAAATCAAGTGCTCCTAGCTAGGCTTTCTGTGGTGGCTAAAATACTTTCTTCCCGGGTTCACTATGCAGCTATTAACCGTTCTATTTTTGTATCATATGAATTATCATCACTGATAGCTGGATTTAGAGAAACGTGGTAGCCCTAATGGAATTAATTAATTGAATAATATTGCCTGAAAAATGGCTCTGTATACCAAAGAGGGCTTGAGACTTAATTACTGATGTCATTTATCTCTCTGTTTGCACCCCAACAATAAGTGACTCGTTTCTCATTAACATTGGGTCGTTTTCCAAAAGGAAGAAAAGAGGCCAAAATAGCAGGAAGGGGAAGAAAAAAAAATCGATGTCTTTGTTCCCCACCTCATTATCCTGATAAATCATAACAGACTCTGTTAATTAGATGGGCAGCCTTAACTGGCTGACTCCTGTCCAACAATTACCTCAGAAAGAAGCACCACTGGGAACATTGCCTTCCCTTGGGAGGAGATGAAAGGAAATCTGTAACAAAAAAAGGGATCGTCTCCCCAGCCATGCTGTGGGGATCACAGTTGTCAAGGCGAATTTCTAGACCGAAGGACGGGAGCTGATTCGGGGACGGTGCTGTGCATTACGGCGACGAAGGGTATCTGACACTGCCCTCCTAATCTAAGGCTTAGGTAATGGTGCTCGGTGCTTCCAACTCCCCCGGGGAGATCAGAGCCTAATTAAACAGGGGAACAGGTGTAAGAGGCCCGAGTTGATCTGACCAAATTAATTGCGGACATTGGGCTTGCATTTGGTAACTGGAAACAGTGAATTAACCATCACCGGAATATAGCTAATCCCTTGGTCTCGCTGCGCCTGTGTATACAACAGACTGGACTTGCTGGGAACACAAACACAGAGGGATTTGAAGGGAAGGTACGACGCATCCTTGCACAGGAAAGCCTGGGCAGTGAGCCTAGCCACAGAGGGTGGCCATACGTCCCGGACTGCCTGCCCTGGACGGTGCTGGTT